TTAGTTGACACACCTTTGCAACATCACATGGACATCAGGGGACAGTGCCACTGGATTGGCAGACTGGGGTGGTGGTTCCCCTCTTCAAAAAGGGGGACCGGAGGGTGTGCTCCAATTATAGGGGCAGCACTCTCTTTAACCTCCCTGGTAAGGTCTATTCAGAGGTACTGGAGAAGCGAGTCCGATCACTGGTCGAACCTCAGATCCAGGAGGAGAAATGTGGGTTCTGTCCTGACTGTGGAACACTGGATCAGCTCGGGTCCTCGAGGGTTCATGGGAGTTGGCCCATCCAGTCTACATGCGTTTTGTGGATTTGGAAAAGGCATTTGACCGTGTTCCTCGGAGTACACTGTGGGGGGTGCTCCGTGAGTATGGGATTGGGGGCCCGTTGCTACGAGCTGTTCAGTCCCTATACAAGCGGTGCGACCGCTTGGTTCGCATTGCTGGCAGTAAGTCGGACCCCTTCAGGGTGGGAGTTGGACTGTACCAGGGCTGCCCGTTGTCACAGATTCTGTTGAAGTATTTAAGAGTTTAAGTATCTCAGGATTTTGTTCACGAGTGAGGAAAGAATAGAGCGTGAGATTGACAGACAGATTGGTGAACAGAATGTGCATGACAATTGCAGCCAAACTGGTGAATACATTAATGTCACTATGGAACCTGGATCAGAGTCAGAGAGATGTATTTGTCATTTGCATCTCATGTGGTACATGTGATAGAATGAGATTATGTACACAGGGTCCCAGTTACATGCAACAATAAAATGTAAAAGAAAAACAGTAATTACATCTAAGATATGAACTAAGAAAAACATCAACTATTGAGGGAGTGGTGGCGCAGAGGTTAGAGAGGTGGGCCTGTGATCGGAAGATCGCCGGAACAAGCCCCAGTACCGACAACATCAAAAATGTGGGTGGGGTAGGTGAAGCACCCACACCTGCCCCCACCCTCATTTGCCCCACTCTGGGCCCCTGAGCAAGGCCCTTAACTCCCATCTGCTCCCTAAACAGGTCTCTCTTGAAAATGAGTTTTCATGGCTCAATGAGACTACCTGTATAAATAAAGGGTAAATAAAAAAAAAATAAATAAAAAAAAATAAACTAAGCACTAATAGCATAAAAACATTACGTCGAACAGCAGCACGAACATGAACTTGAGTCTGTGTAAGCATGGAGCACGTATGAACACAGCAACATGAAACAGATCAGCAGCAACATGATGTGATTTTTCACAGCGATTATTCTGGAGAGACTGACTCCAACATCTTCTGTGCAGCCTTCACCACTCTCTGCAAAGCTTTCCTTTCTGCAGCTGTGCAGCCTCCATGCCACACGTTGATGCTGGAGCACAGGATGCTCTCCACTGCGCACCTGTAGAAGGAGGTGAGGACTGAGCTTCCCAGACCAGCTTGTCTCAGCCGCCTGAGGAAGTAGAGTCTCTGATGAGCTTTCTTCATCAGGCTGGCGGTGGTGTTGCTCCAGCTGAGGTTGTTGTTCAGGTGCACATCCAAGTACTTGTAGCTGGAGACCACTTCCAGTGCAGATCCTCTTATGTTCGGGGGGTGGTAGGTGTGTTTGTTACTTCTTAAGTTCACAATCATCTCCTTTGTCTTCTTCACATATATGTGAAGGTTATAGTCTTTGCACCAGCTCTCCAGGTGTTCCACCTCCTGCCAGTAGCTGGACTCATTGTTTGTGATGCATCCCACCACCACTGTATCATCTGCAAACTTTGCAATATGATAGTCTGGATGGGTAGCTGCACAGACATACGTGAGCAGAGTAAACAGAAGAGGGCTCAACACACATCCCTAAGGGGAGCCAGTGCTGAGGGTTATGGTGGAGGAGGACAAGATGTGGATCCTCACTGACTGTGGTCTGTTTGTTAAAAAGTCCAGGACCCAGTTGCAAATGGAGGGGCTTAGTCCTAGTGTGAATAGTTTGTCCATCAGGGCTTGGGGATCATGGTGTTGAAGGCAGATGTGAAGTCCACAAAGAGCATATGGACGTAGGAGTCCTTCTGCTCCAGGTGGGTGAGAGCAGTGTGGACTACAGAGGAGATGGCGTCTTCTGTTGATCGGTTCTCGCGGTATGTGTACTGATGAGGGTCCTCGTTGATGTTGATGGTTGTTTTGATGCGAGTCATGACCAGTTTTTCTAAGCATTTAGCAACTATAGGGGTGAGGGCTACTGGCCGATAGTAATTCAGACCAGTCACTGTAGAGCTTTTTGGGACTGGGATGATGGTGGCAGTCTTTAGGCAGGTGGGAACTGTCTCCAGGGTAAGTGAGGTATTAAAGATGTATGCCAGCACCTCACAGAGCTGAGCGGCACATTCTTTCAACACCTTCCCAGGGATGTTGTCTGGGCTAGTTGCCTTGTGAGGGTTAATCCTCTTGAAGGTACTCCTTACATCTGCTGAGGTCACGCTGAGATGCTCTTCATCCGGTGGTGAGGTGAGTCTGGTGCTGGGTTGTCTGTTCAGGTCTTCAAAGCGTGTGTAGAACTTGTTTGATGGCATCAGGCAGAGATGGGTCTATGGAGCATTGTTTGCTCCTGCCTTTATAATCTGTTATGTAATTTTTCATTCAACCTTTATTTAGACAGGTTAATCCCATTGAGTCTCGGAGACTCATTTACAAAAGACCTGATTTCTTTAACATAACTTTAACTTAATGCCCCTCCACATGCTCTGTGGGTCTTGTGAGGTGAATTGACCCTCGATTCTCTGTGCATATGTGGCCTTCTTAATACCAGCAACCAGCTCTTTCCTTGTCCTTCTACACGTCTGTGAGTTTCCTGACCTGAAGGCAGTGTTCCTGACTTCCAGCAGGGTGCGCACCTCTGCATTCAGCCAAGGTTTTCTGTTCGGGTAACTTTTAACATATCTTATGGTGGAGATGTTGTCAGTACATGTACTAATGTAGCCCAGGACTGAAGATGTGTACATGCTGAAAAAGAGCGAGCAGCACAAAAACACTGCTCTCTGCCATTTATTATAACTGTTGTTAGAGCAGAAACACTTTGGACTGCAGCCGCCTGGAGTGTGCATGTGCCACTTCACACTTGGAGCATTTCCATAGAAAGAGAACTTTACTAATTGGCTTTTATGTATGTGAATGTTCCTGTAAAGTGCCCTGAGACAACTTTGGTGTGATTTGGCGCTATATAAATAAACTGAATTGAATTGAATTTCACACCTCCGTGGGTTGGTTCCCCAATAATCTCCATTTTGAGACCTGGATTCAGAAACCTCTTTCAGAGAGAATGAGGTCTGTTGACGTTTCACGTTGTGTAAACAGGGCCACAGACTGGTTTAGGGCTGCAACTAACGATTATTTCAATAATCGATTCATCGGACGATTTTTTTTTTCTTCGATTAATCGATGAATCGGCAAAAAAAAAAAAAATGTTTTCATTTCCACCCCTTTATTCCAAAATTGAACATTTGACTGACATAGCAATTCACACTAAAAACAGGTTGCTAGTTCACTATTCTGTTAGTAAAATATTGAATAATAAAAAATAAAAGTTTGTCAAATAGCTCAAAAAAATAAATGTACACAAAAAAATATACAAATGTATCTTTACACCTGCACAATATGTAGCTACTTTGTAAAATGTGTCCTTGAGGGAAGAGTGTAACCTGGATTAAAAGTGTGGATTATTGTAACCTGGATTAAAAATGTGGATCATTGTAGTGAAGCCTTCGTCTTCAACCATCAACAGAGGCCTCATGTCAGTGACGATCATTTAAGGATGTTTCAGTGAAGACAGCTGCTGCTGTGATGTCCATGATGTCTGTCCATCATGAAGGATGTTGTTGTTTTCTGGAATGAGACAGTAAATATGTTTTATAGCATAATTATTACAGCAACTCAAGAAATGCCTTGTTTTACTTACAGTGTTAGGTTCAGGCAAAAGTAGCTAAAAGAGCAATTAAACAGACACACACACACACACACACACACATATATAAAATACTTAATTACACACATTTGAGTAGATGTAATAAATTACTTTAATTCCTGTTTAAATGCAATTCATCCTGCCATACCTGCAGTGTCTTCAGACTTTGCCAACAAATTAAAAGTTGAAGCTTAATCATTAAATTATTATCTTTGTGTTAGATTTATTTATAAATCACATTTAAACACTGCTTGTACCAATTAAATTAAATAAAAAGTAACACACATGTTCTCTATCACCGTCATTAATCAGATAAACAAACAAACAAACAGCTTCATCTTCAGACAGACTGACGTTACGTTTTCTCTCTTGAAACAGAACAATGTGTTAAATTGTAGAGACTCACCTGCAACACATGAAGAGTTGTATCAGCTGCAGCTCCTTCCTCCTCCTCGTGACTCCGACATGTTTACGTTTCATCTCCGTGGTTCTCTCGTGTCGTGTCGGTGATTTTCAAAGCGGCATGTTTCTCATTTTTTATCTTTGTGAAGTTCTCCCACACTTTGGAGAACTTGGGTCGAACAGTTTTCTCTGCGTTGGTCATTTGTAAAATTTACTTAATTTCTTTTGAAAACACTCTGCTCTGCTTCCTCCTCCCCCCTCGCTCTGTTCAACTCGCGCTGCAGTTTTTTTTTCAAACTTTATTCAGTCAGTCAGCATTGACAATGAACTGCCCTTGAACAAAACGAAACGGCTCCGCAGCGCCGTGAAAGACGCATAATCGCGTGACACAACGAATCGATAACGAAATTCGTTGCAAACGCTTTTAATCATCGATTTTTATCGATTTTATCGATTCGTTGTTGCAGCCCTAGACTGGTTGCCCTGTCTGTCAATCAAGTGACAAATTTCATAGATGGATGAGCGGCTGACGTCTATTTTTTAATGCCATGACATCTACACATAATACCTTAGAAATGGACCGGTAGATTGCAATCGACGAATTGGGCACCCTGATTTTAAATCTTAAAATTGCTAATAGAAACATGAGTTAAAGCACAGCAGACTGCACAAACCAATAAAATTGCTCACCCTGAGTTTGAGCGGAGCCACACTCTTCTGCGTTCCGCTCCACAGCTCCATCACCAGGTCACCATAACACTTGGCCATGTGACCTCTCATCCCGATGGGGTTGGTCCTGTCCAAGACACAACCCAGTTAAGTAAAAACATGAATTTTGAATGATAGTGGTAAGATTCAGACAAGATTTATTATAAATGGAACCTGTTGAGCTCATAGAGGTGTGTCCCAGACAGGAAGTAATCCGAGAGAGGCTTAGTGTTGCTCACACACTGAATGCTGGAGTTCATGAAGCACGTGTTTCCAAGGTTACTGAGACCAGTCGCTCCTTTCTCTGTAGGAACTGTAACAAAAAACATGCTTGTAAAATACAAAACATTCATTCCAGCATTTCCCCTACCATTATCCAAGAAGGAAGGCCCAGGCTCCCAAAGGAACTAGCTGGCACACCATAAAGATTATATATGAAAAATAATAAACATCAAATGATGTTTTAGGTCATATTTTTGCAGAAATATAGAAAATTCTGAAGGCTTCACAAACTTTCAAGCACCACTGTATACACATACACACTCATTTACATAAAAATACACAAGGCCAAAAAATGTAAAACATGACGCAGTGCTGCACACAGTGCAAGTCCTTCAGCTTACCTTTGTGTCTGTCCATTTTATTACTGTTAGCAATGAAAGACATTTCCTCAGGCCAGCTCATGTCTTTGTTCCTGACTGGAAAGAAGAACAATTTGAAAGTGCCTGTGGCATACATATGCTACAAATCCCAAAAAGTTCAAGAAAATATATTTATTATATTACTACTAATAGTATATACACTAATATTACTATAGTATGCATAATACACATGATTTTACCCATTTTGTCACTTTACTGGTATATTTTCTTTTGAACTTGTTACAATCAAAGTGAAAAAATGCGTGATGACAGAGGGCAATTCTTTAAAAAGGGGACATTTCTGGTCTTTGTTTACTGAAACAATATTCATTGAACTTGAACTCTTCTACGTCTCTCTGACAGTGACTAATCTAAACAAAAAGATTATTTGCTGCTGTTCGTCTTGTTAGCAATGCTCTGTTCACAGGCATGTGGTCCCCATTGTCATCACTTTTGCAAGAGAATATCTCAACCACCGTTCATTCAGCGGGTTGAATTTTTTATTTTATTTTTTGCAATACGTTAATTGTTATACAGTAGTACCTTGCTACTTTGTGGTTCATTTATAGCCGACTCGTTCTATTGCAGTTTTTCACAAAAAGATTGGACAAGACACACAATTGGCTGATTGATGGATTATCCGCACCATCGTCATGGAATTTTTATTTAAAATAAATTATTTTAAATTATGTAGCACCTGCTGTACTCCAAGATGGCCGCGCTCAGAGCAGTTGCAGCTTCACAGGCTCCCTGTACCATCCCAGTTTTTAGAAGTTTTGATATTGACTCTGTGCCTGACTCTGCGCGATTTATGCGTGTGAACTATAGCCGAACCGAACTGATGAGAATAGGAGTGGATTTGCCACGAAATATAGCAGAAATCAGCAACAAACTCAAAGCTACGCTCGGCAGAATGCAGATCTTAAAGTCATCTACCTGGAAGCTGCAGCAGAGGCGTTCCAGCGGGCAGAAGAGGAAGCGCTGCTCCCGGCTTAAGAGGAGAGGATGCCGGGCGGGGGTTATGGTGAGGCTACGAGCTAACGCTAAAGCCGGTAAACCCCCCATGCCGTCTCTCTTTCTGTCGAATGTCCGCTCGTTGGACAACAAGGTGGATTTACTTCGTCTGAGAGCGGGCGCCTCAGAAGAGATGAAGAAGTGTGCGGTGCTTTGCCTCACGGAAACGTGGATTACAAGTGAAACGCCGGACTCAGTCTTCCAGCTGGATGACAGACTTTTTTTTCGAGCGGACCGCTGCAGCGAGCTAACGGGGAAATCACGGGGGGGCGGAGTGTGCATTTACGTGAGTAAAAGTTGGTCCACGAACTGTACTGTTGTAAATAGCTCATGCTCGAAGGCTTTGGAGCAAATAACAGTGAAATGTCGGCCACATTATCTACCCCGAGAGTTCACAGTGACTTTTATCACAGTTGTTTACATTCCTCCGGACGCTAATGCTAATGAATCACTACAGGAGCTACATGATATCATCAGCTCGCTGCAGAACAAACACACCGAGGCTCTTTACGTTGTAGCCGGAGACTTTAACCACGTGAATCTAAAGGAGTGTCTCCCAAGCTTTAATCAGCATGACACCTGGAGAGCTGGTGCAGAGAGAATAACCTTCACATCAATGTGAAGAAGACAAAGGAGATGATTGTGGACTTCAGAAGGAACAAAAACACCTACACCCCCCTGAACATAAGAGGATCTGCGGTGGAAGTGGTCTCCAGCTACAAGTACTTGGTGTATATTTGGTTGATGTTTTTCTTGGTTCATATCTTGGATGTTATTGCTGTTTTTTCTTATACATTTTATTGTTGGATGTAACTGGGACCCTGTGTACATAATTTCGCTCCACCACATGTACCACATGAGGTGCGAATGACAATAAAGAAACTCTGACTCTGAGCATGTGACGATTCCGACACGTGGAGACCGCACGCTGGACCGTGTTTACACGAACGTAAAAAATGCATACAAAGCCGAACCCCGCCCCCACCTAGGACTGTCAGACCACATCTCAATCTTCCTGGCTCCTGCTTACATGCCCCCGCTGAGACGCTCCAGACGGGTACAAAAGAAAGTTAAATGCTGGATCCAGGACAGTGGCCCCATACTGAGAGATTGTTTTGACCGAACAGACTGGCAGGTTTTCAGAGAAGCTGCTGAAAATGGAGGTTCGCTTGATCTTGACCAATACACATCGTCAGTACTGGGTTACATTAGTACATGTACTGACACCGTCTCCACTATCAGAAATGATAAAAGCTACCCAAACAGAAAACCTTGGCTGAATGCAGAGGTGCGTACCCTGCTGGAAGCCAGGAACACTGCCTTCAGGTCTGGAAACTCAGAGGAGCTGAGTAGGACAAGAAAAGAGCTGGTTGCTGATATTAAGAGGGCCAAGGCCACATATGCAAAGAGGATCGAGGGTCAATTCATCTCACAAGACCCTCGGAGCATGTGGAGGGGCATTAAGTGCATAACAGATTATAAAGGAAGGAGTGAACAATGCCCCAAAGACCCATCTCTGCCTGATGCCCTCAACAAGTTCTATGCACGCTTTGAAGACCCGAACAGACCACCCAGCACCAGACTCACCTCGCCACCGGATGAAGAGCATCTCAGTGTGACCTCAGCAGAAGTAAGGAGTACCTTCAGGAGGATTAATCCGCACAAAGCAACTGGCCCAGACAACATCCCCGGAAAAGTGTTGAAGGAATGTGCTGATCAGCTCTGTGAGGTGCTGGCAGACATCTTTAACACCTCACTTACCCTGGAGACAGTTCCCACCTGCCTGAAGACTGCCACCATCATCCCAGTCCCAAAAAGCTCTACAGTGACTGGTCTGAATGACTATCGGCCAGTGGCCCTCACCCCGATAGTCGCTAAATGCTTCGAAAAACTGGTCATGACTCGCATCAAAACAACCATCAACATCAACGAGGACCCTCATCAGTACGCATACCGTGAGAACCGATCAACAGAGGATGCAATCTCCTCTGTGGTCCACACTGCACTCAACCAACTGGAGCAGAAAAACTCTTACGTCCGTATGCTCTTTGTGGACTTCACATCCGCCTTCAACACCATGATCCCCCAAACCCTGATGGACAAACTATCCACACTAGGACTAAGCCCCTCCATCTGCAACTGGGTACTAGACTTTTTAACAAACAGACCACAGTTAGTGAGGATCCACAACCTCTCCTCCTCCACCATAACCCTCAGCACTGGCTCTCCTCAGGGATGTGTGTTGAGCCCCCTTCTGTTTACTCTGCTCACAGATGATTGTGCAGCTACCCATCCAGGCTGTCACATTGTAAAGTTTGCAGATGATACAGCGGTGGTGGGATGCATCACAAACAATGATGAGTCCAGCTACAGGCAAGAGGTGGAACACCTGGAGAGCTGGTGCAGAGAGAATAACCTTCACATCAATGTGAAGAAGACAAAGGAGATGATTGTGGACTTCAGAAGGAACAAAAACACCTACACCCCCCTGAACATAAGAGGATATGGGTGGAAGTGGTCTCCAG